TTGCTTTTATTTACTATCCCTTTAGCAGAATAGATTTCCCTCCTTCCTGCAGCCTTTTCTGTAGTCATTTTTTGGGTTTATGCTTCCCCTCCCCTCCTAAGGTCCATTAAATGCAAACGCTAAAAAATTATGGCAAACCATGATATTTTCAATGCACATATAATACATTTTGTAATCATGTCAGAGCCAAAACTGTTAATGTTTCTTTGTTTTTTAGGGGGGTCAGCATGTTTTAAGTTTTAAAATATAATGTGGGGGGGGGGGGTCACCCACTTTTTTTTATTTGATAGGGGGTGGGTCAACTGAGATTTACAGCTGGCAAAATGGAATCTGCCGACCCCCCCCCCTAGGCCGAAGTAACTGACCAATCCCTAATTAATTAAGTTTTACAGTTTTTAATGAATTTGTATAAAATACACAGAAATTGAGTTCTTAATTCAGGTAACTGTACAAATGGGAGAGTGCATAGTCAGACAAGGGCTTTGCACAAACTCTCTAAACTGGTGATATCATATATAATGAGTAAGAGGTGTGGGTGGAGTCACGTGCTGCTTCTCGGCGTTAAGGGTTGTTACATGTGCTGGTTTGTGGTTGGTTTGTCGTGGACTTGCGGCGTCACTGTGGCGCTCGACCGGGTGTCCGCAGGGCTATTCACCGGAGCGCATGTGTGTTGATGGTTTTGTATGTGGAAATTAAGATTTGGGACGGGCGGGTGGCAAATTTGTACCTCCGAGTTGGCATGTCGAATGCCAGTGGTGCGTATTCGCTTATTTTGCAATTTGAATAAATGTTCGATATTGCGACACTGTAATAGAGACCGTGGTTAATTGATTTGAACAACACATTATAGTTAACTATACATGTATATATTTACTGTGTCATAAGTCAACGAAATTAGATAAACTAATTACATTGTATATGCACACTTTTGACAGAAAAAAAATACATTTACGACAGTAGCGTTGATGAAAAAAAAAATAGTTCAAAACTAATTGAGGGAAACAGTTATTTTACCACCTCCCTAAGTTTTCAATAATTGCTAAATTAACTGGTCATTCGTTGCGTCAGAAATTGAGAATGCATAAGAAAAACATCCACGAGAATATACGACACCATACCTTTTCTATAAACTGCGTCCCTAGCGACGACGCGTTTCTATGGCGTCTACGTACGCCTTTCAATCCGTCAATATCGTTACGTTCTGTACTTAGCCATTCATCGATGAATATTATGTTGAGAAGAAATTTCATAATATTGTAGATGAAGAACGACTACACAAACGAACAGACCTGTAAATTTGAATAACAAATGCTTTCATTCACGTACGTCAATTTCGACGCCCCGCCACTAGAACGCGTGACTGGTAGGAATGTTGTGCTTTTACAGATACCCGGACGTCTGAATATGTCATCCCAGAAAACCACCCACAAATCAGTATGTGGTTCACATCACCACAAATAAGATAACAATTATATGCTTTCAGAGCAAATTAAATACTAGTATGCAGTTAACGCTGAGGTAGGTGTAAATTTTAAATCGATGATTTGAAAGCTTGGGTATTATATTACAGAAGGTTTCTAATGACGTGTGCGCCCTCTGTGTGGCGTATTTTCATTATCCAAGCACCTACTGCCGTTGGTGGCGTGCTTGAGGAATCAGAGGCATACTCACCCGATACTCTGAACTCGTTCGTCTTTACGAGAACGATTTAGCAGAGGCAGCAGCGCGAAATGTTGCATGGGAGGCGAGATCCGCTCACCAACCTTGCGCCGAATGCTCGACCTTACTAGGGAGTCCGGGGGCATGCTCCCCCTTAAAAATTTGGAAATCGTGACCTACTGAAACCTTTACAGCTCCCTGCTGAAACGCTATTTCCTGCGTTTTGATGGTCCGATTTTTCTTACACAAAGGATTTCAGCTTGATTTTGGAGGGGCGACGCCCCAACATTTTTTTCGAGGGGCGATCGCATTACATTGTGCGGGGGTATTGAGAAATTAGCTGCAGAATATGCGGTTCTCATAAATTGAGCTATATTTGTAGACACTCGATGGGCTTTGTTTGTTTGTCAATGAAGATAAGTTACATTGTAGATTAACATGAATAAATTACAATATATAATCAAACACATACAAGAATGTAAAGACAAAAATGAAATTAAAAAAAAAAACTCAAACTAGGATTTTATTTTAATATGATTGATGGCGTCCCGTATTTGACTGACTTTTTTATTCATACAGTACCTGCGGAAATTGATGATGATTCACAATTCTCGCGTCACACGTGAACCTTCGTGGGACCGGGACTACCGGTAAAGCTTGTGCGCATGCGTATACAATAGGAGTTAGAAAGTGGCGGTGAGATTTTATCCTCTGGACTTACAGAAAATGGGTACGTTTTACGAGTTTTATTTATATTTCAGACATTTCGAACGCTTGTGAGTGTTATTTAAATGTGTACACGGATTTTCAATAGAATGAAAATTATGAATCATCGGAAAAAAATAGTGAAAACACACTATTTTAAAACAGGGTGTATTCACTGACGTCTGCGGAGCGAGGCAAGTCGGAAGTTTCAACCTGCTAGTGCTATGTCGTCTTTCCGTGTAATACATCTTCCTCGTATTATTCGTTTTGTTGAAATCCAAATGTTATCACATTGTACGGATGACCCACCAGTGAACGGTATTCACATGATATACTATCGATGAAACGAGGTGTTTATTATCCTTGACAAATCTAGAAAATGAACTTTGAATTTAAAGGCTTAAGCCTGCCTAGTACTGTGGTCCACACGTCAAGTCGTTGTAATTTAAAAAAAAACATACTTGTCACTTTTCGAATGTTGTACTCAAAAATAATTAAATCTTGATCAGGTTCAATGAATGCGCTATTATTTTACTCTATATACGTTTAAATTGACGTGGACGAAAAACACAATTGGCTTTATTTTTTAATCAAAATGAAATAATTATACAGTCGGTTCAAACAATAGATATTAGTTTCGTCTACACACACACACACCCTTCCAAACACGTGTTTGCTAAAACGCCATAGTTTATGTAGGAAGTGATGCACATAAAATATAAATGACTAATATTTTTTATATTCAATTCTCTCCATGGATATTTCCTGGCTATCCTGTCCTATCATGCGACTCAACAATGACCACAGCGGTAAGAACCATTAATTTTTGCTTTATCACACAATCCCTTCACCTGATCTCAGTTTCATGTTGTTTGTTTTCATTAAAGTGATCTTTAGTGCCTGTGGCGTGCTCAATATATGTATTAAAATTTCCTTTCTGGTCTTTGTATATCAGAACACCAAAGCCAAAGAACTAGAAGGATACGTTGGGTTTGCCAATCTTCCAAATCAAGTGTATCGAAGATCTGTGAAAAGAGGTTTTGAATTTACATTAATGGTGGTTGGTAAGTAACACATGTTTACATTCCATTGTAGGTTTGATCACTCTGCTGTTTGCAGAGATCTTAAATCCTTGCGCTTTTCTAGTACTCCTAGAATACAGGACAGAAACGATTGCTAGATTGTTAAATGCTAGAAGGCAGTAACGTTTCTAGCAACTTTTTTTTACCCGTAAGGCAGGCCAAACTAGTGAACTGTCAACATGTACAATGCTTTATTGCCTGCTGTTGGTGTGGCATTCAAAATGATCTGAACTCAAAAATACTGGTTGAGTAGAGCTACAGAAAATTGGTGACCTACTTTACACAACTTGTATAAATTCCCATCTCCAGTGTCATTGTACAAGATATTTTCGAGACAACTTGGACTGGATATTACTTTATTTACAGTTTGATGATTGAGTCTTATTTGAACCTAATGATGATATGTAATTGGACTGGGGCCTTAGAAAATTTAATTTTGTGTCTTGGGATTTAACTGGGTGTAGACAAAATAATGTTGGTGAAAACTGTCATTTGATACTGGTTGTCAAGTGTCACAGTACAGGATGGCAACGCAAGGAAGCCATAGAAACGCTGATGGGATACATGTAGCTTTAGTGTACAGATCATTACTTTGCTAGTATCCTGTTTATGAATCACGCTTCAGTCTGAAGATCAATGAAATTAATTTAATTCTTGTAACTATCTTGAATGCAAGAAATCATGAACATTTCTAGCTCTAAAAATTGAACTGTTTACGCTAGTTTTTAAATCACCTGTAATAGGCTAACAAATCATTTCAGACATACACGTGTCATTCCCCTTTAAATTTAACAACAATACTTTGAAAGTTAACACCTCTGATTATTTTTGTTTAAATGAATTTCAAGTTGTCTTATTAATACTATAACCAATATGTTTAGGGTGTGGCTTGATAAACAATGATGTCACTTATCAGTGGTGTTGTTTATTTCACAGGATATTCGGGCACCAATTGTGTATGAACAAGGTGAAAAATTGTTAATCATTGTACTTTGAAACACTTGAGCTAGAATGTAACCATGACAAAATTAGTCATAAATTATATGGAGCCAGGATTCTTTGTGATACGCATGTGTAGGTAGATCATATAAAGTTATCCTAACTATGCAGTGGTAGTCACTGAAGTGTATGCTGTCTCCTAACACTGTGTAGGTCATCTTGCTACAATGCTGTGAACTTTGACCTGACAGCTTGTTTATCTTTTGTCCGAGGTTATCAGGCTATAACAATGCCCTTCAACCAACTCCAAATTTTACATATGGGCAGTAAAAAAAACAAAGGTAGAAAAAACAACCTCAATTGACGTTTAAGTGTAATAAGAATATGTGTGATGCAGAAGTCCACTTTTTATGATCCGTCATAAAAGCTTTATTAAACTATTGTGAAATTGTTGTTTTCTTGATGAAAACTTTTTGTTTTGCTTGAATACTTTGTCGGAATCTGGAATGGATACACCTTTGTGACTTGTTTGTGACTGTATTCTAAAATAGTATTTAAAAAGTTTGTACTGTAATACTGTTTTATTTTGAATATCAGAAAGTTCAAAAAACTTCATGTTTAATGCCAGCATGAAAGTTTGATGTGTAGTTTTAATTGACTTGAACACACAAGTTTTAAAGGACCTTTGTGTATACCCAGGCTGAATCCTTCCAAAAAAGATATGTAAAGGTTTTTTTCTCTTTTGATGAGTTGTTGTAATCGGATATCTTATAGCAACTGAACACATGTGAATCAAGGATGAAGTTGTATAGAAACCGAGAGAGACTAGTTGACAAGATCCCCTTGGCCCAACTTGCAGTGGACATGTGTGTATTGTATTCTGTGTACACCTTGCAGGCTAAATCACAATGTATACACGGGACTACAAATAACCAATATTGTTGTGAAGCAGTATTACCACAGTGAGGGAGATTGGGTCATTGAAGTCATTCCATGTAGACCTCACTAGACCTAGTTTGATTGCTCAATTTAATTTAATTGTATTTGACCCAGATTCAACTTCTGGGTGGGTGTGCCATTGTATCAGAGTGAAGAATAAGACAGTTATATATGAGCTCATGAAAACACTTGTGATGGGATTATATCCATTGTCAACAGTAACTATATAGTATATAGTAAGCAAGGAAGTCAATTGCAACCTGATGATTTGACTTTGTTTAATCTTTCTAAGGCCTTGCATTTCCATAAAGACCATGCATCCAACTAGTCATGCTATGGCTGGCAAGGTATCTTGTTTTGGCAGTGGTTTGTTGAATCAGTGCAGTGGTGAGGTAATGGTCAGTAAACTTTGCCCTGAATCAATTCTATAAAGAATGTTTTCACAAATAGCTAAGCGTTGCCCTTCAAACAAAAGGCGTTCTCTTTCTCATAGTTTGTTTAAGTTTTTGGTTACTTTTCAATACACCAGAAAGTGGATTGGATTGCATTTTAGCATGGGTGTTGTGTGAGTGAGGGTCAGCTGTTAATTTATATTGATAGTTGGTGTGTTGTACAGTGTGCTGTGGAATACTTCATGGTTTAGTGGAGAATGTCCGCTTTCAAAGCTGGAACATGACTCTGCACTTCAGCTTATTCAGTCCCAGAAGAGTGAACAAGTGCCAATGCTACTGAGTGCTGTGGATAGAAATATCATATTTCCATCTAGTACAAAGCATGGACCTGTTGTTGTTTGTGTGTTTGCTGTGTGATTGTTAAATTAACTCAAATAGACAGGTATAGAAAGAACATAATAGCATCATCCAATAGAATCTCCTACTCTTGTGAGTAATAAATACTTTTTTGTCTCCATTCTCAGCTCTAATGGTTTAATAATAGCAGTGTATTTTGTTTAGAGTCAAAGTGAAATGTTGTATTTTATTCAGATTTTTTCCACTGATAATTGTAAAATACTTTATTTGAATTTGTTTTTAATATTTTCGCTAAAAGGATGAATTAGTAAAAAAATTCAGTGACAATACCTTCAAAATTAATTGAAGCGAAAAATTAATTCCAGCGAAAAATAAAGTATTTTACAGTAATAAACTTTCAATACCAGCTTTCATATCAGTATTATTAGATAGATAAATGTTAGAGACAAAGTCAATAACTGAGTATTTGTGATTATGTTTAAATAATTGTTTTTGTTATTGAGAAGACGAATATGTGTTCATTGAAAAATTTACATGCATCCTGGGTATACTTGTATTTATAAGGTATTAAACTAAAAATTAGTATTTTCAGTATTTTCTATCAAACCAATATTGCTATATTTGTTCAAACATTTTTTTATTTTACATTCTGGATAATAGTGTACTGAAAACATCTTCCGTAAAATTTAAAATGTGACTTTTTTGCTAGTGTTGTTTATACATGTCAATCAAATGCCCTCCGATTTTTTGTAATTTCTGGTTTCATTGCTGCTTGACATTCAGATATTGTTAATTTAGAATTAAATTTGTAATGGGACCTACGTATATTCTGTATGAATTAACTTCAAATATTTGATGGGAAATGCTAATTGTTTTTCTCTTGGCGATTCCTAATGTCTACCCATCAATGTATTTGAATATGCATATCCAGTTGTTTGGTCTGTTCTTGAATTTAATAATTTGTGCTATAATTACACATTTCTATTTGTGTGCTCAGAGTATATATTGTGTTTAATCGCTTTAAAATTGGAGACCCAGGTGGGTGGTACATATTCTTAATGGTCTATTACTCGTGCTTGGGTATTTTATTAAAAATGTTCTAGACTCGTTAATATATTATTCAGTGTTCTCAATTAAAACAAAAATGATATTCTCAACAGTAATATACATAGTAATAACAATTGTCACTTGAAACACAAATTGTAGAATAACTGATAAATATTTTCATTCTTGCTTAAAAATTAGATTCATTGTCATTAAACTAATTTAATGAATTTATAATTAATGAAGTTTCCTGATTGGTTTGTTGTTAAAATTATTTATAACAGACATAGAGGCTTTGTTTGTGGAGTTCAATGGTATAACTAGTTTCATATGCACTAGTTTCTCATCTTATTGAGTATAATGATTCATTTATTTAATTTTACATGGTCCACATTTTGTTCAGTGCTGTAAGGTAACTAAAGATGCTATCTTCTCATTCTTCAATCATGTGAGTTATAACTAGAGTCAATATTCCATCTGAAATATCCTATTCAAAGGTCACAGTGAGGCGAATCCTTTACAAAAGCTATTATAATTTGTAGTGGTATGGTTTCGTACAGAAAGTAACAATGATTAAATTTAAATATGAAGAGATGTCTTGCATTTACTTGTCCGTAGTGATTCGTCTATTGTGAACACTCATGACCCAGATCTTTGTTACACATGCAGCATGCTATGTTTATTTATTGTAAACTTAAATTTTAAATACAACAAATTTTTGCATTTTAATAAGTTTGAGGACCTTGTTCAAGATGATATTTATGTCAAAGCCACTGTTACTAAAGGCCCCAGTGGAATATTCAGAGCTACAAAATCTTGCAATTAAGAAAGTCGTCAGTATTATCTTACAACTGTTTACTTGAAATAGTAGAATTAATTCAACTTGGTTACATTTGTTTCAACTCATTGAAGGATTACTGTAAGTTTTCCCTGCAAAAGACAGTTAAATTTATTTAAGACATTTTCAGTAATACAAATTCATGCAATTTTCACTGTCCTGTGAAATTAAATTGACAGTAATTTCAAAATAAAACATTAGCGCAAGATTAAGCTCTTGGAAAAGTGCAAAAATTTCTGAAAAAACATGATTCATTCCTTCTTGCTTTTTAACCTGTGTATTATTGCAGTCATGGCCATGACATTAAGTGACCCATCCAGTAATATCATAACAGGGCTCAATGCATCATCTGCTGTTTTGCCTGCAAAGTAGCTAGCTGTCACACATTCCATGAATTCATGTGGTGTATTAATTGTAGGTTGGGCCTGCCACACCACTGGTGACTTGTGTGTGATCCAACTAATTAATTTCTC